CTTAAAAATCTGTTGTTATTCAGGCTTTTGGGGATCCTGGAAACCTGTGGCTTATCGCAGGGTCAGTGGTCAGGATGTGAGGGTGTGAGCATTGAGGAAACTTCCTAGAAAATTGAGAACATATGAAAGTCCTAAACTAATGGTTTATCTGTGCTGAGTATCCTCAAATGGTACCATATTACTCTAAGAGCATTTTAAAAAGACTCCTCCTGGAGATAATAAAACCAAGTGCAGTGTGAAATCTAAGACCAGACTTCCGGGTGGTGATGTAGGTAAATTGGGAAGATGTCATGGGGCCGGTGGTGAGACAGCCTCACCCTACCAGAAGCTACCTCTGCCACCTCCCAAAGGCTGCCTAAAATGCTTTGGTAAGAGCTTATTACAAGACTTGGAGTTAGATGTATGTAGAATGTGTGAAATGTTTTCCTGGGAGGGATGACATTTTAAACTTTTACATTACAGGACTGGGAGTCATATACAATATAGTACTTGAAAGCAGATTTTAAGAGGGGGATAGAAAAAAAACTATGAAGACACTGATGCTAAGAGTGGAAAGGAAAAGTTATCTAAGTGGTGATAGAGTACCAAGGATAGCTTTTTGTTACTTCTCAAATTTGCCAGCATTTAGTGGACAAAATGAATATTCTTAACGATACAAGTAATTTTAATATTAGGGCATGCTTTTTACTTTAAGAAATTACATATTAATATTGTGCATCATGAATATAGGGAATTTATTCATTAGAGCTCTAATATTTACTACTGTCTGATGTAGAGAAGTCTCCTCCCCTCTCTGGGCTTTGGTTTCATTCATTGATAAAGTAGCACAATATTCACAGGAAGATCTAAGTGCCTGTTACAATAGAAACAAATAGAAAAAGAAGAAGAATCGGCACAGTACCTGACCTGCTAACCTCATAGGTTGTGAAAATGCACTGAGATGGCTGGAAGTGGAATTCTTTATAAAGTGGGCAAATTTATTGTTTATAGTTGGTGCTAGTGCAGAAAGGATGAGTGCTGTGAAGCATTACCACTCAATGTCAATGGAATTTACTTTTGGTGGTGCAAAAAGAGAAAATAAATATATCTCTAGTCTCTTGTTTTCTTAAATTTTGAAGGAGCTTCAACCATGTTCAGAAAGGGAATCTTATTAACATTTGGGGAAAAACATTTTTACTGAAACTTCTTGCAGGTTTTAACTGTAGGCACACATATGTTTGTAAAGATAACTAGCCAATGAATAACATTTTAAAAGAGAGAAGCTGTTCTTTGAACATCTCCTCAAAGAATCAAATTGGAGAGAGTGCACATGCAGGTATTTTTTTGCTAAAGAGCATGATGTGTCTGAGGAGTTATCTATTCCACAGTATCTATTCCAGAGATTGCTTGGCAACTGTAAATGCGGGGAAACAGGGGAACCTCTATTCTATGTTTGTGTAGCTCTTGAGCTGTGTAGAACTAATTGCTCCAACCACACCATGAGGTCAAGGGCAGAGCCCATTCCTTATAGATGATTCTGTCTCCTAGTTTGCAGCAGTAAATATTTATTAGATGAAAACTTGGCTGAGGCTCCATATTAAAGAGATGAGGAAGTGGCATCTCTTGGCAGATTTTAACCTCAAGGCAGGTTACCTGCTCCTGCATAATTGAAAGGAGACCAGGCCTGGCTTAAAGGCTGTCTCACCCTTTCAAAGAGATCAAGTAACAGTGATGGCCCATGGGTGTCAAATAAAGAGCTTTATAGTGTTAAAAGAAACTTCAGCCAAATTAAATTTCAAAGTGTTTAACTGATCAATGAATGATTAGCGACTTGAGAGGCCCCAGAATCACAGCAGATTCACAGACACTACAGGGGTGCCTCGTGTTTAGAACAAATTTATAGACAAAAAGGGTAAAGCAACGTACAGGAATTGGAAGTGAGATACAGAAAGAGTGAGATTGGTTACAACTCAGTCTTTGCCTTATATGAATGCAGTTTGAACATTCAGCAATCTATGAGTTGTTGAAGTATGGCCGCTGGAATTGGCCAGAACTCAGGTATTGTTACAGGTGCATATTTTTGAGTTTTCAAGTTGTCTGGCTATTAAGCTAGGTTACCGTTCATCTGCCAGGACGCAAATATAGAAGTAAAGAGTCCTTCTCAGGCCATATTTATTTTGCTCTAACAATAGTTTAAGAAAGACATGAGAAATTAAGAGACAGTTCAGAGGACAGCTGTCATGATAAAGAGTTTAGAAAAGGACGTGTAGGAAGATGGGTCAGCGGTGGGGGATATTGGGATTATTTAAGCCTGACAAGAGGAGCCCAAATAAAGTATGACAGGTTGTGGGTATGTGGACATTTGCAGGGATGATCATATAAAATATAGAGCAGATGTTCTCAAGGTTTTTTTTTTTTGTTTTTTTGATGCCAAGGCACTCAGGAAAAGATTACATTTACATGGTCGACGGTGTAATCAGGCGAGGTTGCTTAAGACTACTTTCTGCCCTAAGGCTTTGATATGCTTGGGTCCCCCTTTGCTAGGAAAGACTGCTGAGATGTGTAGTATCATCCAAAAGAGCAAGATGGCTTAATAGTAGAAAGGAGAGCCTCATTGCTTTTCTTAGTTTGCAACCCAGGAAGGGAATCCAGTGTGGAATGAAGGTGCTGCTCTCTGTTGGAATAGGGGAAGGACAGGTTGCAATTTATAATCATATTCATACATATTCAACACGTTTGGGAAAAGTATGCATATTTATATGGGAGCTGAGCTCACCATAATGAGTAAACATATGTAACATACATCCCATGTTTGCTTTGGAATGGGGTTTTAGCACTAAAATGAGATAGAATTTGGTTCTTTACAACAAAGGGTGAACTACAGGATACAAAGGTGGTTTGTGTGCAGCCTCTTAGAAGCTGGCAGAAACTGGCAATCTGTAATTTTAATAGCTTATCAGAAAAGAACATTTGTAAGGCTGGTCCTCTGTCCAGTCAGAGCTGAGAGCTGATATGGTTAAAGGGATTTTAGTTATAGAAAGTTAGAAATTTGCCATGCCATCCAGGCTCTGAACCCTTGACCTATAGGGAACATTGTTTCCTTAACCCTAAGGTCTGTCTTAGTTGATAAAGGGGCATCTATTTGGTCTCTTAGATCACAATAGCTTAGTGTATGGTAATCTATTCCTTGTTTAAGGGAGTTGCTTACTTGTTATGAAATTGATGTAGAGGGCTGGGACTCTGTATTTGAGGTAGAGTTAGAAAATGGGTCAAAATGACAAATATGAGATTGAAATAAGAGAAGGAAATAATCGATTCTGGATTTGAAAATACTGCTTGATGTGTCACAGGATGGGTGTGTAGGAATGTTTTTAAAGAAAAGAACTTTTATCTGAGGAATGTGAGTCCTTTAAGTTATCAGGCCTAGACAGACATTCAGATGAGACAGCAATCACAGCCCTACTTTATCCTTGAGCTGTGTATTCATCTCTTGAAATTGCTTGCTATTGCCACATGTAGCTATATATTAACCCAATAACCCCACACCTGACACTATAACCCATACCCTATAACTTAACAATATATAGCCAAACACTAATCAATATCACTTTGTAAACCAATGAGAATTCCTGATAACAACTTTGTATCAGCCCACTTCTAGCCCCATTTTTTGACTAAAAACCTGCTAGTTACTGCTGCTAATTGGAGTGTATATTTAGGGTGACTTGCATCTGTGTTCCCAGGTTGCAATCCTCAAGTTTGGCCCAGATGAACTCTCTATTTATGATAATTTTGTCTCACCTTCTTCCTTTTAGGTCGATGTATATGTGTGTTTGTGTATAAAGTATGTTCCAAAAGTGCTTGAAAAGTTTAAACTTCACTAACTTCAGAAAAATAAGGGCTATAATGTACCCCCAAGATCCCTTGAAGTTTAGTTACATACATTTATTGTGCACTTACTTTCACTTTGTAGATGTTAAAAGTGAATTATTAGTGAAACCATGCACCAGAGTTAAAGAAACCAATGACCAACACAGATCATCAGTTTACAGGATAGCAGATTAAACAACAGCAACAACAACAATAACTTGCTAAAATGCCAAAACTCTGCCTGCTTGTGAGATTAAAAAACTGGCTAAAATGGATTAAAGTTGATATTGCCAACTGAAGTTTGCACAGAATAAGCTGGCTGACATCACAGCCCAAATTTCTGCCACGTTTTCAACTAACTCCCCACAAATGTGCACGTGCGATCCATGAGGTAGCATTAAAAACAACTGTGCATGCCTGAGGACTTTACAGACCTCCTTTCTTCCACTGATCACCTATTAATCCCAGAGACCACTCCGTAAACCTTTTCTAGCAAAATGACTGCATGAAAGCCAGCACACGGGACAGATTTGAGCTGGACTCCTGTCTCGTGGTTAATTTACCATAAAAACCTGCTTTTCTCAAAAACCCAAATTGGACAATGAGCTCCTTTTCTTTGATAATATTAGTTTTAATCGTTTGAGTCAGTCTCTCTGATTGGAAATAGTTAAGGCTGACTTTAAAATAAAAAATTTACTGTTGACATTCACAAAACAAAGTAAGTATAAAGGCACGTTAAGTTTCACATCTGGGCTAATGTAAGGCAAAAACATTCTGTAGATAAGAGGAATTGGAGGACTTTGGGATCCTGAGAGTGCCAGTGCCTGGGTACAGGCAGTATTTCAGGCTTTCAAGGCTGTGGTGTTGGTGGGGTTGAAGTTACGGGCTCCAAACAGTAAAGCAGGACTTGGTTTACAGTTGGAGCAAACAGAAAATTCCACTAAAATAAAGATATGACATGAAGAAAGGATAGAGTTGGGAAATGGAGTGGGAGGGTAGGACAGAGGGACCTGAGGGCACAGGAGGGGTGGGGTCAGCTAGGCTGGTGAGGTCAAGGCTGTGGACACACCCTCCTCTTATTGCTCCCTCCACCCTTAGAAACCCTTTGTGACTTCCATGCTCTATGATGCAGGCCTGGGCTTATAGTTAAGCCTGGGCAAACTCAGGGCTCACTTGCTTCAGGCAGCCATGCTCTTCACCTCATGGAAATATCCTCTTTTTTCTGAACAGCTGTACTGAGTCAGGGTTCAGCTCTGGCTTGGCACATTGCTTGGATATTGACCCCGACTTCATCTGCTTGACTGTGTTGGGGTTGTTTATGCTGTACTTGTTCTGCGTGCTATTGACTCTCTATTTGTCACCCGCTGGGAAAAATAATGGCATCCCAGTGGTAAGGAACTATGGGTGAACACCCAAGGGAGATTCCCTGTGGTTTCCCAATCCTATTCCCACATTTCTAAGTAAGTCTGGTTGGTACAGAGAGATGGGCTTAGACGGGAAGTCTGAAGAGAGGATAGAATTTCATCTTTGGAAGAGGTTGGGTAGACTTAGGGCTTCAGGAGGACTAAAGTTTCCATCTGAAGCTCATAGACTACCTATCTGGCTGTGCTGGAGAGTTCCAGATAAAATTCCAAACACAGTAATTCTGTGGTCCCTGATTGGACTACATAGAGAGTGTGGTCTTTCTGAAGAAGAACAATTTCTGCTGAAATTTGATCATGAGTCACATTCCCATGTCACCTTCATTCAGTCAAGCCTTCCTTCATATTGGGTTGACCAGGGGAGCAATGCTGAGAGTTTCTGAACAGAGTCTGGAGCCAGAGCTCTGTCTCTGGGACACTCTTCCTATGAGGGAGCACAGATGTGACTATTGCCCTCTGAGTCTGTGCCCTCCTTGAGGACTGCTAACTGAGCACATCAAGTGTGACTCTCACAGACAAAATCCTCTTTGAGTTTTTCAGGGAAGGAAAACTTAGAAATATTTGATCACCTTTAATAATTGATAACAGGAACATATTAGCATTAATTAGGGAGTCACATTATGCTTGTGTAATGAGTGAATGAATGAATGAATGAGCTTCATAGAGAGTGAGATAAATGAGTCCCAGCCTCTCATTGTCTTTCTTTTGTTCTCAGCCTCAGGGCAGAGCCAGGAGGAGAAAGAAACGTGGGACATCTAAAGGTAAGGCCAGCCTACTCTATCTGAGTTTCGAGGGTGACCCTTTCTGTTTCTGTAAGGAGGACTCAGGCCCATGATTTCTTAGAATGTCAGTTACTAGACACAGTCTCAGAAAACAGAGCACTCAGCAGAGAGGCTTACAGAAAGGCAATCAGACCTGAGACACTGCTCATAGGCCCTGCTCTGCCCATCCATAGGCATGATAGAGTGAGGGCCTTGTATCGAGTATTTATAATACCTGAAACAAAAAATGTGGCCATATGGTTAGAGATGTTGATGGGCCAGATTGGGCTGTGGACTTATCTCTAGGATAAGAAGGGCATTGGGTTGAATGTCCCCCAAAACAACATGAAGTAGGGATATAACTCCTGGAAGTTCAGGGTAGTTGGATGGAAAAGTAAGCTTGAGAGAGAAATACTAGAGTTCTCATTGTCCAGATAGTCCTGAAATCAGTCTCTTTAGGACAGGTCTTACTTTAATTATTTTCTTTTCAGGTAAGTAATGCATCATTATATTATCTGAGTTTAAAAAAAGTCTCTATAAGTCTAAATACCTCCACTGGTCATTGCTTTCTAGGAGGTAAACTATTATCATGATTTTCACATGCATTCTGTGTTGTGTGTTGACCTAGAATATTTATAGTTTATTCATTTTACATAAAAAGATCACATTATGCATATTAATTTACAGTATGGTTCTTTTATTCAACAAATATCGTGTCATTCTACCTAAAACAGTGGAAATAGAGGAAACTCATGCTTTTTAACTGCTGTGTAGTATTTCTTTAAATGAATAGTTCATATTTTTTAGATCGTTAAATATTTATTTCCTATATTTTATTATTATTAACAATGCTGCCATGAACATCCTTCTATATGTTTTATTGTGCATACTTTCAAGTGCTTCTCTTGAGTATACATATGCCTAGAAATGAAATTTCTGTGTCAGACTGTTTATATTTCAGAAATATATGGCGGAGCAGGTGCTGGGGAGCTCTTCGCACGCGGCTGCGGGGCGGGAGGTGATAGCGGCGCTGGGCGCGCTCCGCCCGCCCCTCCTCCGGGCCACAGTCGGGTTCGGGCGCACGGGGACCTGTCGGTGGTGACTGGCAGCAGGGAGGCGGCCGGCGGGGCCGGCGGCGGCGCGCGGGTTTTCTTCCAGAGCCCCCGGGGCTGCGCCGAAGGCAGCACCGGCTCCAGCAGCGGTTCGGGATCCTCCTGGGAGGACTCGGCGCCGGTGGCCACGACAGCCGCTGCCGGGCAGGTTCAGCAGCAGCAGCGGCGGCGACACCAGCAGGGAAAAGTGACAGTGAAATACGACCGTAAAGAGCTTCGGAAGCAGCTGGTGCTGGAGGAGTGGATCCTGGAGCAGCTGGGTCAGCTCTATGGCTGCGAGGAGGAAGAAGTGCCAGAGGTAGAAACTGACATTGATGATCTTCTTGATGCAGACAGTGATGAAGAGAGAGCTTCAAAGTTACAGGAAGCTCTTGTAGACTGCTCCAAACCAACAGAGGAATTTATCAAAGAGCTGCTTTCTCGGATAAGAGGCATGAGGAAACTGAGCCCTCCACAGAAGAAGAGTGCATGATTCTGGAACAGGGTGGAACTCTCCCGGAGACGAAGAGGGTCCTGGGATTTGTACTTCATGAAGACTTTTGTGAAAGAATAGGTGTCCTTAGGAACAAAGTTTTTTTTGGTGTGAAGGTGGGGGGGGTCTATTGGATGTTTATTCAAAGTGTTTCTTTTTTGGTTTTAAAGGTTTTCGTTAATGTAATATTTAATTTGATAATCCTTGCCCAACCAAGGATTATCTAAGCAGGTGGACACTCAAGGAAGGGTCTTGCCAGGCTGCATTTTCTGGAAGGACTCAGATGTTTAGTGCCTTATGATACAGGGAAGATAGTTTTCTTACAACTACTTTGGTAATATTTTTTCCTTAAGTCGTACATTTGACTCAGCTGTCAACTTTCTTGTACTTGTATATATCTACACACAACTAAGTTAAAATGTTGGTGTGAGTTTATTTCCCATGGATGGAATAAACCCGTGGTCGTCCTTTAACTGGAGGTCATTGCACATGTGTTTTCAAGAGGCCACTAGGCAATCTTCATTGAGTGCTGCTGACTTCAACATTCACTTTATGCACCAAAGTGAAAGAATTCAGTGAATCCGTTATTTTAATGTGCTACACAACAGAAATGTTAACTTGGTCAAGGGCTTAATTTATGAGATGTCTATTATTTCACCTTTGCCAGGTCATGTGCTTATTGCCTCATCTGTGGTCTTTTAAAGTTTTATGAACCCTTCATTTGAAGAACTAACTTGATTTCTAGAGAAATGCTCACACTATCTAAGTGGTATCTTGCATTGGAAAAAGGAAGCACTGTGTAGCAATGAATTGTCTGCTTTCAACCCAAAACAGTGTATTATTCTCTCTCCAGGAAAGCAGATCTAAAGGAACTTAGCAGATCGAGTGTCTTCTTCCTTAGAAATAGATTCTGGTAGCTTCCATGCCTGGGTTATATCAGACCAGTGCATGTAAACTGAGTGTTAATGTCAAGGCTAGAAAGCCTCACATTCTCTCAAGACAGTTGCTATAGGAGCCAACTTGCTGGTTTGGAAGTGTGGTGATTGCATTTCTGGCTTCTCTCACTGGCTTGTGTTGAGGACTCTGGGTGCTTCTGGCCCTAATCGTGCATCCTGATCCCTGTGCTTGGAGCTAGGCCTGGTGATGTGCTCTAGCCCTCTCAGTTTCCAGCTCTTTGGAGAAGGATACAAATTCAGATGGGATGTGGGATGGGTAATAGGTGAGAGTAGAAACTCTCCCTTCACTCCAGGAGGCCCCTGCTGCCTCCCACAGAAACCCACCTACTGTAAGATATCTCCAGGTGGCCTTGTTCAAGGATGGGGGTCAGGCATTTTATGTCAGAGGTGCTCTGAGCATATTTTATTTTTTAAAGAAACTATGTTTGTGAATTCTGCATATAATGGCAAGCTTTTGAAAATGTATTTAATTTTGTATTGTTTATCAATAATTTATTTACAAACTATTTACTCAAATAAATGGAGCTGCTTACAAAAAAGAAATATATATTATTTATTTAAAAATTTTAATATATATATAGTTTGAATAGAAAATAAATGCACGTGGTAAAAAGAACTGAAAAATTATGTAATGAGAAGTATTCTCTCTCAGTCTTGAACAGACTCAGTTGGTGCTTTACTTTCTTTTTGTTTGTTCGATTTTTTTGGTGTACATTTAGAATTTTTATTTTAAAACAAAGAATCAGAGTAACATTAAAAATAGAAAATTCATATAGAAATGTTCACAATCTGCTCAGTGGGAAATGGGAAATCAACTTCCCTGCCTTACTGCCAACCTATGGTTTGAGGAGCCAGAAGTTGACAAGAAATTGGAAGGTCACCTTTTCCAGCAAAACCCCACTCCATAGCTATGTGCATTTTTATTTAAAATGAGAACTGAGAACCAAAATACTATTATTGGCAAGGGTTTGGCCAAAGGGTCTGAGATGTGTAAGTACCAAGAAGGGAAAGGGAGATTGAGCAACATAAGAAAAAGGGGCTGTAGGAACAAGCACAGAGAAAACAACAAGAACCTATTTTGACCCAGCGCAAAATGACAGTGCACAGTGCACATATATCCATCCCCTCAAGTGTGGGCTACACTGCACAGTGACTCAACTATCTCAAACATGGTCTATTGGAAAGATTCAAGTCCCTTAAGGGCACTCGGCGTAAGACCACAGTGACATGGTAACAGACATACACAAGCATGCTGTGACCCTAAAGCAACAACACATTTTAGACAATAACCGTTCAGAAAAAAACCTCCGAGAGCTGAGGTTACAAATTCCAAGTCAGCTATAAACATTCTTTGGGAATTCCTTGAAAGGTATGAGTTAAAACAAAAATCAACAGTTGGTGCTTTACTTTCACTGAGTGTTAAATATGACATGCCAGCTGTTAATATTTTAAATATGCCTTTCAATTTGTGTATGTCTGATATTTCCTCATGTTTAGTTTAATGATATATGCCTTTGGTAGAAATAGCATACCAGTTAGTCTAACTTCTCATTTTACACTATCAGGTGATACATAATTTATAATCCTATTTCTGATGTTTTTCAGTTTAATTGCTTGTTAAGTATTGTCTACTAGACTTTAACATTGTAAAGTTCTCTCATCTTTTTTGTAATTACTGTTTTGCATATGTTGAGACTATAAATATTTTGTTATTCATCAAACCTTTCATTTATTAATTCATTTATATTCATATAGACTCATGTTTTCAATTTTATTTAGTTAATGATAATCTGTTACTGTAATTATTTCTTTTGACATTCACGTTGTCATATGTTTGAATAGTAGGAGCCCCTTCGAACTGCCGTCTGGGTCCTTTTGACACATCCCCATCATTGTTTGAACATTTTCTTACTTTGTTATCCAGCAATATGTATTTGAGCCATCTTGTATTTTTCCTGCACAAATCCTAGAACTAGCCATTTCTCTAAGATACCCTGCTTTCATTTGCTGGAGAATGATATTTAGAAGCCTATATATGGATACTAATTATGTTCATTGCTATTAGGGTATCAGTGCTCTCATGCTTTCTCAGTGTACAGATCTATCTGTCTCTCTATCTCTCTATCTATCTCTCTATCTCTCTATCTATCTCTATCTCTCTCTCTATCTCTCTCTCTCTCTATCTATCTGTCTATCATATGTATTATCTACATTTCTGTACCTATCTATATACATTGAAAACTATGAATTCACACCCATATCTAAAATTACTACCAAATATCCAACACCACTGTGTTCATTTTAGTTTTCTTTCTTTCTTTCTCTCTTCTCTTTTTTTTTCCAGCAGTGAGAATCTAGTTCTTATTTTTCTTAAAACAAGGAACACTTGAGATGTTTGATAGACGATATTAATTCTTAGTCCCACTTGGGGTATACTAGTGGCAGTAATCATGCAACATGAAAGCATGAATGATAGAGCTTTATTTGACAGTTGAATCTGAAGGTATCCTCTTAGAACATATCAAAAGGAGTAAAATCTCTAATTTCACATTTGTCTATATTTATACTGTGTTATCACTACCAAGAGAAGCAAAATCCTAATTTGATATCTCAAGAGATAATTAGATTATTATGCTTTTTAAAGCACAATGATAAAAATGAATTATGTGATATGGAACTTTATAAAATATCTTAGTGACATTACATCTTTTTTTTTTTTGAGATAGAGTTTCTCTCTTGTTACCCAGGCTGGAGTACAGTGGTGCGATCTCGGCTCATCGCAACCTCTGCCTCCTGGGTTCAAGCAATTCTCCTGCCTCAGCCTCCCGAGTAGCTTGGATTACAGGTGCGTGCCACCATGCCCAGCTAATTTTTGTATTTTTAGTAGAGATGGTGTTTCACTTTGTTGACCAGGATGGTCTCGATTTCGTGACCTCATGATCCACCTGCCTCGGCCTCCCAAAGTGCTGGGATTATAGGCGTGAGCCACCGCACCCGGCCGTGACATTACATCTTTAATGACAGTAATAGAAACTGATTTCAAGGTTCAACTATGAGCAACTCTGAGGGTTTATTTTAAGCATTTATTTAAAACATTTTCTCTTTAGTTGGAAAGTTTTTTTGATAATTGTTTAAGTGACCATCTAACATTTTAGTTTCCAAGATTTACGATTAACATTAAAATCAGATATAAAACGTATATCCTTTTCACGTTTATATATTTTAATTAAACAATCTTTAAAGGTGATATTTGATTCATTGATTATCTTATATTTCTTCCTGACAACTGCAGATATTTTAAATGCAGTATCAACTATTCTTTTTCATATTTTTGGCCTGACATTTCTCCATTCACACAATTGCCTTTTCTATGTTTGTAAATACTATATATTAATATATGCTGATGAGGCTGAATGTCTCTGAACTGAACTCCAACTTTGTATCAAACAGTGTACTTTTGTATTCATTTTAGATGTCAAAAAGGCAGCTAAACTTAATATATACAAAACCAAACCCTTGTGTTTGTTTCTTTTTAAGATCAAATCTTATCCTCTCACATTTTCTCCTATCTCAATAAATGGCAACATCTTTCTTTGAGTTTCTCAGGCAAGAAACTCTGGAGTCAACTTTGACTTCTTTCTCTTTCTTATACTCTGTAATTAGTCCATCATCAGATCCTTTATAATAGATCCAGGATCTGTCCAATTCTCCTTCCTTGTCACCTATTTTAATTGGTCAAGCCACCATCATCTCTTGCCTGAATTCTTGTGGCAGCATCTTAATTGTCCTCCTGGTTACATGCTTGCACCTTGAAGCCAGAGTGATCATTTTCAAATATATATTATGCCACTTCCTTGCTCAAAACTTTCAGAAGCTTCTTTTTCAACTTGGAAAAAAAGCCCAGTAGCCTTTGAGTACCTTCTATATGACCTAACTTCCCTCTATTTCTGTAGACCCATTTCCAGAATCTTCCCTTTACTTATTCTACTCTAGTAGAATAAGTACTACTGGTCTTCTTGCTATTCTTTCAAAGTCCCAAGCATATGCCTACCTCAGGGCCTTTGCCATTGTTGTTCCCTGAGGCCAGCATGCTCTGTACCATGACATCTGCCTGGCCAGATCCTTCCATTTTGTTCAGATTTCTATGCAAGCATCACCTTATCAGAGAAAGCTTTCATGACCACCTTAAGTAAAATAGCACTTACCTTTTCCCACTTCTTATCTCTCTTATCTGGTTTAATTTTTCTCCATAGTACTTGCTGCTGTCTAACATATATATATACACATATATAAAACATATTATATTTAAAATATGTTTTAAATATAATATATATGTAATATATTATATACATATATATACTATATAAACTGTATATAGTATATATATACATACATATATATATACATACATATACATATATATACATACTTGCTTATAGCCCTTACTAGATTATAAACTCCATGCAATCAGGAACTTTGAGTTTCTTATTACATTCCTCCTGTGTTTAGAACAGTGCCTAGAAAGTGATTGGTGTCCCATTAATATTTGTGGGATAAATAAATTAAAACCATTTCTGAGAGAAATAATCTGTTATATTCGGGTTCCAATAGCATCAATCAAGTTAAGACATTTCCTGATACTTCCTTCTCCACTCTTTCCCTGACTCCGTCCTAGATGAAAGCATGGACATGCCAATGAAAAACTTTATTGTTAATAAAAAATTCTTGGGTTGTTTCATTTGCATAGTGAAAGCAACTGAAGTGTAAATCCTGTTTGAACAATGCAAGCACTGGGCTGACAATGAAGTGAAGTAAACAGCTTTGTGTGTGGAGATGGGGTTGGATGGGTAAGAAGTTGCAAGGTGGGCCAATGGAAGAAAAGGTCATATCCTCTCCTTTTCCACTCTAGGTCTCCCTGCCTAAAAGCACTACCATTTTGGAAGAAGGAAGACATTTTAACTTCAAGTGAAGTTGGTGTTTTGATGAATACATCTTACAGGACGTTTTAATTACTGAGCTAGATTATTCGTGGCACTACGAATGACTTAAAGAATGGTTAAGAACATTCTGGGACCTTCCCTCACCTAGTATTTCCTTCAAAAGGCAAGAGAAAAATAAGTCTCCAGATTGGTTATAAGGGATCTGTGAGGGGAACGAATGAAAATTTTCCCCCCTGCATGCTATGGAGTTCAGCTTATTTGTTCTACCTAATGATTATCCTTCTTCTATGTGGTCTTTATCATAGAGCTTAGCAATGTACTGTTTACCTTCTGTCTGCCTTACTAGACAGAGAGCTCAAAAAGACAGGGGCTCTTGCAGACAGGTATGGAAAAAACGAAAAGAAGATGGGGCAACATTTTTATTAATCCTGTTAATCCAAGACCAACTATAGTACTTGACATGAAGTGACCATTTAGTGTTTGTTGAATTACCTCCCTCCCATCATCTTGATGAAAGAATTACTTGAATGCCAAAAGTACTTTGAGTATGAGAAATTCAGTATTTCATGATACAAAGGAGGCAGAATGCTTAAGTGTATAAAGAGATATTGTGTTCCCAGGTTTAGATCCATTTACCATCACTCCATTCAATGGGAAAACACTTTACTTCTGAACTGTATCACAGGGTTGGTTTTATTCTTCCCTTTTTATTCAAGCTCTCAGCCACCTAATCTCTCTCCCCTGTTGCAACAGGGCATGAACGTAGCTTTCATGAAGCCCAGTGTTTGGATTAAATTCTAAAAATAATCCCCTTCTCTCCACATCTTACACTGCTGTGATTCTTTTTTAAAAGCAGAGTCTGAATCCTTATTGTTTAAAAGTCAACATTTCCTGTATTATTGCGGCAAATGCAAAAAATCTGACAATGTTGTGAACGACTGTGGAGAGGGCTTGTTTCCGTATAAAAACTATAGCATTACTGTCACTGTGATCCAGAGATGAGAAGTTATGAAACATTTTGACTCAAATAGATGCCACATGAATTTAAAAATTTTCATGTGGATAATAATTTTTCAAACAAAATGTCACCATGATTTAATCCCTCCTAGAAAGACAGGAGTGTATCTTCAAACAAACTGCCTAAGCTGTTTGTTCACAGTTTGCTTTTTGATTCAGTAGGATGGATTATGAGGGGTAACAACCAGAGCTGTGACAGCTCTGGCTAAATCCCACATGGCGTTCAATCCTTCTCTCTTTTAGAAATCTCTCCAAGTTTGGAATTCTACGAAAGGCTTAATGGTAGTCACTGGAGGAGTGCCTTGGCTTGTGAGTAGGGGTAGGGAGTGGGGATTAATATGCCAATTAAAAATTTATTGTTAATAAAAAATTCTTGGGTAGTTTCATTTGCATAGTGAAAGCCACCCAAGTGTAGATCCTGTTTGAACAACGCAAGCACTGGGCTGACAACGGAGTGAAGTAAACACTTAGGGCCTGTCCCTAAGTGTTTCAGTGACTTCAGTGAAACTTTCCTGGTCAGTGACAGCCCAGTGAACTTTCTTGAGGCACAGCCAAACTGCCATTTTTCTGACCTCTAGACATGGTTTTGTAGCAGACATCCACAATCATATTGCTTATACAATACATACATGAAACTTCCTTCCTCTTATTCATAAGCCTGTCTCCCTTCTACTGTGATTACTATCAACTTCACTTCCCTCACCATGACTAAAACTGTCAGCATGGAGGAAAGAAAAATTATGATAATGTTTTAATACCTGTTGTCACATGTATTAGAAGAGCTCCAGAGAAAAGAGTTCTCAAATAGGGGATGAAATGGCTACGTATTCTATCACTTCTGTGATATCATACAAGATACTTATAGTCTTTTGCTTAGAACAGGGAAGTTAGTTATTAATTGTTTAAGGCCAGCAACTGTCTCCTTCGGACTATCAACATATTGATCAATCTTCGTCACTCATGAACTGTGTAGCAGATAGTTTGCCATTAATAATTAAAATACTGATGTTTAAGATTGAATTTTAATTTTAAAAATGAGAGCTCAATCAAAGCCAGCATTACAGTAAAATCATCTTTCATTTACTTCAATTGAAACAGCAGAAAAGGGGGTAGGGTAAACATGGAGAATCCCGTATTTCCATAAGAGTATGATGCTTCTGGGAGTATAAAAATGTTAAGAACCACCTGATTTAGGCCAAAAGGCCCCCCCAAAGTAGAATCAATAGATGGCAATATTAGTATGGACTCCCTCATTCCTTGTCATCATTTCCTGAGTGGGAAGGTAATTCTGTATTTCATACTCTCTTCTTGGAGTTATCTTTGAGGCTTGGTTTCTAACATGTAAGTACTTAGCATACATTCAATCACATATGCTAACAAGAAAGGGAAACTAACCAGTAAAAAACTATAAATCAAATCTTGCTTTGAGAATGAACTTTGGATTTCAGCCTACTCGATCAGCCTTTATTCCTGTGTTGTTATTAAGTGCCAATCTTTTTACATCTAACTTTCTTTCCCTTTGTTGCACACCTGTGATGGAAGTGCTAAGCAGGGGGACTGGGGAACAAGGTTTGGTAACCTATGGGGAAAAAAAATAAATCTGGCATTTGGTTCCTGGACCATTCCAGAGTAGCAATCTATCTAAATATTGATGTTTGTGTATAGTATCATTCGTTCAGGATATTTCATTAACAGCCTGTCTTTGAAACTTAGTGGGCTTGATATTTAAGAAAAGCATAAAATGAGAATATGGAATTATAGAAATATTTTTCTTTCTTTAGATCTTTGATGGGTGTATGCAATAAACTTAAAGACTTGTTCGTCCTTTGATTATTCAAATAATTATTATATTCCATTGTTTTAATATTTTTCTGTGACTTCTATGTTTTGCATATTTCACACCATCACTGAGATTCAGGTTCAAGTTGTTGAAACTGTTACATTTTTAACAGTGCTTTAGGCATATATAGGAATCTGTTATAATCTTATTTATTAATTTCTGTTTGCATATTAATGTGAATAAGAAATTATAACTTACATATATCATTTTCTATATGTAACACCATAAATACATTTATTAATATACATATCAAAAGCATATTTCTAGCATCTATAAATGCCTATTTTTTAGTGTATACACATATGGCATTAGAAATGAAATTTTAATTTCCATTTTGTTTTTCTAAAAAACTGATCAATATAATTGATTAAGTAATGAGCTTTCATCTTTTTGTGTAAGAAATGAATGTTTTCTGGTTTTACTTGATAAGGTCTTTTTAGAGTAGTTAGAGTCTGGGGATTGGGGAAAGCAGCAGGGAGTTCTTAGAATAAAGTGTTAATTCCCTGAAGAGAAAGAACCGAGAAGCAATGTGTGACAATTGTTTGGCACTAGTCTAACAGAAGCAAGTTTTAACATACAAATCCTATTTTGTTGCTCTTGTTTTCCCGGTACTTTCCCGGTACCCAAACAAAAGCAAGATAATCATTTTCACCCCATCCACAGAGCTACTCAAAATGGGCTCTAATTCAGTAAGAAAATAAAGACACTTTTCTATTTGTTTTTGAGAGTCTGAGTTCTTTGGCAAGGGGCTGAGAACAGGGAGGAAAACAAATATTTGTTAAATGATAAGCGTGTCTGAATTATGCTAAATGATATCAGATACAAAAGAAAAATGCTAACATTTTGAACTACAGAGTTAAAAAAAAGAAAGAAAGAAAAATGCTAACATTTCCGTAAACAGGGACCCACAAACAAGGCACATAGAGGAGACAGTTAATAAACAAGGCATTGTTTATCTACAAGATTGGTATTGTATGAAATTTGGGCTCATAGACCCTTGGTAATCTATTGAAAGAATAATACACAGTCACACATAATTTGTATGCAGTTTTGGCAGGGGAAGATCCAAGGAAAATCCCTAACAGAGAGAACAGGCGTATAATTTTAGGTCACCATTTCTTCGTTATTTATTCAGAGAAGTCCTAGATAAGGACATTTACAACTCTTATGTTATTTCATAACACCATATGCCTCTCCTTAGTTTTTCATTGTTATAAATTAGTATATATTTGAATGATTATTTGCTAAAGCCTGTACACTTAACTTGACTATAAGCTCCATGGGGGCAGAAATATCCTCACTTATCATTTAATTCCCCAGGATGAACACAGTTCCTGGTACATGGTAGTCACACAAATACTGGTTGAATGAAATAATGAACAAGCGTGGATTTGACATGAAATATGGAAGAAGTTAGAGGAGACAGCATTATATGTGCTAGAGTTGTCAGTAAGTTTTATGCAGGATGAATTACCAGTGCAATCCATGATTCTTCAGGATGTAACATGGGCATGCCCTTGACCTATGCATGGGGTAGAGGGATATCTAGAGCTTGTTTTTGAAAGGTGGGAAGGATGGACGGTCTCAGAGGCAGGGAAGAGGCACCTGGGGTTGGGTGAAATAGGCTAAAAGAGTAGTGTGAAATAAGCACAGGTCATGAGGAAACTAGTTCTTCCGGTGGTTGATGGGTAATTGTAGAAAACTTGGTGGGACCATGCACTGTTTTAATAAAGGTGCTACGTTAGCTTGGATTCTTCATAAGCAGATCCTGTGATGAGTATTTGAGCAAGTGATTTCTTAAGTAAGTGCTTCCAGAAGAGATTTATAAAAGAATGGAGGGAAGGGGAGGAAGCCAAGCAAGGGTGTGTGTATGTTTAGGCAAAGTCTTAGTCTCAGCCTGATCATGCCAGGGAGTTCTCAAGTATAAATTACACCTCAGAGTATATGCAGACCCAGGCAAGGGAGCCAGGTATTCACACTTCCACTTTAGGTATTAACTAAGGGCTATTCCAAGGCCTGGTAAACTTCCAGGGATAAAGTAGCTCAGAAGAAAGTATCAGGTACCGTGGGCCATTAGAAGCAAAACACAATGATGCCAGGGGATGGACACACAGAAAGGTCAAAGGGGAGATGGGAAGGAATCTGAGCAGAGCTCTGGCAGGGTCTGCTACGGGAATTCTAGCCTGATGTGATAGGCAACAGAGATTTGTCACTGGCTGCACATTAGAAGCACCTGAGGAGCTTTTAAAGAAAAATTAGTGACTGAGCTCCAGCACAGATGAATTAAATCAGAACCTCTTCAGGTACAGCTTAGGTATCAATGGTTTTTAAAATCTTCTCCTGTGGAATCAAAGAATTGCCTGGATTATAAGACTCTTGGGTAAGGATGTGGCAGGATGTAAATAGTACTTAGGGAGATCTATGGGTATGAACTTTTAGACTGGATTGAAGGGAGAAGAAACTGGAGGAGACAATGGAGTTTTGGCCAATGCTGATGACTTAGACTGTGATGGTGGCAGAGCAAATAGACATAAAGAAATACGTGTGATGGATAGTTTAAGACAAAATTCAAGAGACTTGACAACTGATTGAATGGGAGGGCTTGAGGGGATGGAGGAGTCAAAGATGCTTGAAAATGTCCAGGCTGGGAGTCTGGCTTTGAAGCAATGTCTTTGAAGTACTATGACTCTTAGGCCATGTGGAAAATTACATCAGCATAGCCCTTTGACATTTGCAGCTGGAAAAGGGAAGATGCTATTATTAATGAGGAAGCTTTTCTCAGGGACTAGATTATTCTTTGGTCATGAATTAGACATTCTTTTTTTAAGACTTTCAGGGTAAAAGTGACTGTTTAAATCATGTAATCCTTAGTATAACAAAACTTGTTCCTTGTCCCAGGGAACTTGGACCTTGGGTGTTTGTAAAACGGTGTTCATAATTCTGCCATACTGTGCTAGTGTTAATATTCCAGTTGAAACTAATGGCATTGATTAGTTCTGCTATTGATTCGGCTGAATATACAAGCTTACAGCTATCTATCTATACATGCAAGGTATTGTTTATGTTTGGGGAGTTGTAAAGAGAATAACTTTTATCGCAATATAATTACGCAAGCAATGAGATTTACATATTTTACTTAATTGGGTAACTTTTCTTTGTAGGGACAAAGTAAAAGATAGTCATCAAACTAATAATGGTACTCTTTTCACATAATGTTTTCTCAACACTTCACATGAAGAATCTTGTAAGATAGTAAAGAAAGTACTGTAATTATTTGCACCTTACAAATGAAATAGTTGAGGTCCACAGAGGTAAAATGTCTTAACCATGATTGCTCAGCATGAAAGGTGGTAGAAAAGTGGCTGATGTCAGAACATTTGTTTCCCAGGTGAAGTCTCTTTCCGTTATGGACTAGCAGTGATGTCATTCTGAAGCACTAAGAAATGATTCTTCTGAGTTACGCTTCTCCTAGGTAACGAGCATTCTGATTTGGTGTCTTGCTTCCTATATATGAATCGTGGCGTTTCATTTGGAGCAGCAGCAGCAGCAACAAGTATCAGTTTGACGCTATCAGATGTTAGACGTCGTTACTGGTACTTAGCAAACATTTCCTTTAATCTTCTTAAAAATCCTATATGGTAAATAAATAGCCTCATTTTGCAAATAAGAAAACTGAGGCTTATAATGATGTTTTTCTTTGACAAAAACAGTTGTATTTTTTAGGCATTATGGTTGAAAACAAAGAAGAAAAGAAAAAGTGTATTCCTGATATAAAGTTTATGCTACAAGGAAACATGGGTTGAGTGCATTGGCTCACACCTGTAATCCCAGCACTTTGGGAGGCTGAGGTGGGTGGTCACTTGTGATCAGGAGTTTGAGATCAGCCTGGCCAACATGGTAAAACCTCATCTCTACTAAAAAAGCAAAAGTTAGCTAGGCATGGTGGCGGGTGCCTTTAATCCCAGGTACTCGGGAGGCTGAGGCAGGAGAACTGCTTGAACCTGGGAGGCAGAGGTTGTAGTGAGCTGAGACTGTACCACTACATTCCATAGGTGATAGAGGGAGACTGTCTTAAAAAACAACCACCCATGTATTGAAACCATACTCTTCAAATAGCTTTCTTTTATGCATGTTTAATGTTTTACTTAGAAGGATTTCTCTTTAGTTTCTAGTCCTGTGATGTTTAGAATAAATTTTTTTACTTCCCCTGAGACTCCCATTATTTTTTAAAGTATGAATACCATTAGGTAATGAGGTAATATTTATGACCAATTGTGGACAACTGTGGCTGCAGGTTGTATCTGTCATTTATGCATATTGTTCTAGCTTTCTTCTTACGGTACCTTCTGGGAACTTCCTCTTTAGCACCTTGTATTTTCACCATTGAGATATAAACACGATCCAGTTTGGCCAATCAGATTATTTGATTAATGAAGCCTTAATGATTTATTCTTTTAGGGATACACAAGTAGGGCTGCGTAGTAAAGAATTTGGCCTCAGCCTTTGATTCCAGTTCCTGAGAGGAAACTTCTGATCCTTTGCATTTCCTGCTTAGATTGTCTTTGGTATTCATGGTGCACACCTTGGACCATAACTGGTGATGTATGTTCATCCATACAGGTGACTTCTGTAGGCCTTTCAGACCATGTGATGTCAGACTGACATCTAGAGAGTGTGGAGGGCTGGAATTAAATTAAACTTTGTGGATGATTATTTAGTCAATCAGGCCTATATCATGAAACCCCAATAAAAACTTAGGACTCAGAAGTTTGGGTTTTGTCCTATGTTAGTGCTGCTGGGGTAATGCACCTCTAAGGATGACGGAAGCTTCACATCAGGATCCCTCCCAGACTTCACCCTGTGCATCTTTTCTGTTGGTTGGTTCTTACTTGTATCCTTTTACTATAAGAATGTAATCGTAAGTGTAATCCTTTCCAGAGTATTGTGAGGTGTTGTAACAAATTATTGAACCTGAGGGTGATCGATCATCGGATCTACCAAATTTGTAGTCAGATGGTCTAAAGTGAGGGTTACCCTGGGGACCCCCAAACTTGTGGCTGCTGTCCAAAATGAGGTCAGTCTTGTAGGAACTGTTCCTTCTGACTTTGCACTTTGGTAGACTCATCGCAGTTGGTGTCATGATAGACTTGGTAATCTGGAGAACTGCACTCCTAACCTTGAGTTGACCGACAATGGGTAAGGGCCAAGCAGACTATTCCATAGAATTGATCAGAGTATTCCATGTGGACTTAGAGAGGGAAATTCTGTTTCTGGAAATAACGAACTGGAGATTTTAAGCTGGAAAGGTGTGGTTGATTTGCTGGTAGCCATCTTGACTATCACATGATGATACCCTGTGTGTAGATTGTAGCTAAGTAGAGTAACAATCATGAAATAGAGAGACAGACATCCCTTGTGATATTGTCTGAGCCCTTGATTTCACTGTGCCAGAAGCTATATGTATCTATGGTTTTCTGATTCAGCAAATCATTAAATATCCTAGTTTAGCCTCTGCCATTGCAATCAGAGAGTTTTGTCAATATCTGTTGTTTGGACCTAATGTTTCTCCTAGAGGATTACATGTATTAGTGAATAAAATTTTGATTGTGAATCTTCTTATTTTTATGTAACTGATATAGTTTACGTATTTGTCCCTGCCAAATCTCCTGTTGAATTATAATCCCCAGTGTTGGAGGTGGGGCCTGGCGGGAGGTGTTTGAATCATGGGGTGTATCCCTCATGGTTTGGTGCTATCTTTGTGATAGTGAGATCTGGTCATTTGAAAGAGTGTGGCAGGCACCCCCCTTTCCCTTGGCCCACCACATGTATGACTTCCTCTCTCATGCTCCTGCTTTGGCCACATGGCCTGCCTGCTCTCTCTTTGTTTTTTGCCATAATTGTGAGTTTTCTGAGGCTTCCCCAGAAGTTGAGGAGATGCCAGCACCATGCTTCCTGCAAAACCTGTAGAACCGTGAACGAATTAAACCTCTTTTCTTAATAAATTACCCAATCTCAGGTATTTCTTTATAGCAATACAAGAACAGTCTAATACAGTAATCCTGATAATCATGTAGAGCTTCATTTTAAATATATTTTAAATGTTTATTTATAAAACAAAAATCTGTATCTCTGTGAAAACATTTCTTTAATAAATGCCCAATGTTGATTTCTCTGAAAAACATTATCTATCTACTTATCTAACTTACTGTATGTTTGGTGTGAAAATGAAGAGTAATGGGGAATATATAAAGTCAAAAAGATTCAGGAAATACGCATATTTCCTAAATATTCTTTGTTGAGCCAAGGAAATAACTCACAAAACTGTGATATTCTGGGTGTACAGGTTTGAATTCAGGAGGAAAATATTTTGAATTAGATTATGTCTAAATTCTCATATGCAGAAATTAACCCATTTACAAATGAGTGGATAGAAGTTATTCAAGTATAGATTACACACACACACACACACGCATGCACACCTTTTAATAATGATGAAATTTGACTTACTAGAAAACAATCATTTTAGAAAATGAAAAGAGAAAAATGTTCATTAATTAAGTTGTATTTATTTAACACATTATATATGAGGGATGCTCAGAATATAGCAGTGAACAAGACAGGTGTGATTTTTTTAATCTCATGGAGATTAAACTTTAGTGGTATAACAAGAAAACAAAGATTAGCCATAATTCTGCCTCTCTGAAATAACACGCTTCATATTTCAGTGTGTTTCCTTCCAGAGTGTATGTTTGAGTATGGTGTATGTGTGTGTAACACAGTTGGATTCTCGTCTGCATACAGATTTGGATTATTTTTTCTTTTAGCTTTATATCTTGAATCTAACCTTAAGCCATGACGTAATTCTCAATGGTCATTGAAAGTTATATTTATGTACCTCAAATTTTTTATTACAATACTATGATGAGTAGTTTTGGCAATAAATATTTTTCTAGACCTTAATTATTTCATTAAGATACATTCTTGCCAATAAAGTGAATGGTCGAAAAGACAGGAACATGTTAAATGTTGTTTGAAATAAATATCAAATTATTTTTTCCAGAAAGAGTCTTATAGTGGATTTCTCTTTCCCTCTCCCTCCCTCCCTCCCTCCTTCCCTGCCTTCCTTCTTTCCTTCTTTCCTTCCTGGGTCTTGATCTGTCATCCATGCTGGAGCACAGTGGCATGATCATGGCTCCCTGTAGTCTTGACTTGGGCTCCAGTGATCATCCCACCAGAGGCTCCCCACTGTCTGGGACCACAGGCACACACCAGCACACCCTGCTAGTTAAATTTTTTTTTTTCTTTTGTAGTGATGAGGTCTCCCTATGTTGCCCAGGCTGATCTCAAACTCCTGGACTCAAAGGATCCACTTGCCTCAGCTTCCCAAAGTGTTGGGATTATAAGGTGTGAAACTGCCAGAGAAGAGTTAGAAAATGCTTATCTCACTTCGCCTTTGTCATCATTAAATATTGTTGTACATTTCTTGCTAGCATTGTTTTACAGTTTTGTTCGTGTTAAAGGATATTCTTTTCCAGTGTATCTTCTAATTGATTATTTCAGGTATATAAGAAATCAGTTGATATTTTCGTGTAATGCCCATTCTGCAGCAGTGGTCTTGGGTTTGGAACAACAATCAAACTCACTAAACACAATAGGCTTCACTAGCTTTCAGTTAATTTAGCATTAGGAATAGATACGGACGGAGAAGAAAGCAGCATGAGCAATAATATAGAAAAGGTTTTGTGATTTCCAGGCACAGATTTGAATTTGACAATAACAACATAGAAAAAGTTTTTTCCAGGCACAGATTGGAATTTGTCAGTTACTTCACACTTAATACATGCATGATGATGAGAGATGAAGCTGGATGGATAGACCATCTCAAATTAGGGAATCTGTCAGCCCCAGGATTCAACTTTTACATAGCTTATCAAGCAGCCTCTTCAGGGATACAGGAGAAGCCCCTCTTCTTTTATGCAGCTGTATCTTATCAATATAGATTCCTCATTTCTTGATAAATAATTTAAATAATTTTAATGATGAGGTACAAGTCTTGGTCTAGTACAAATCCTTGGCTAGAAATTCTTTTTTTTTTTTTTTGAGACGGAGTTTCACTCTTGTTACCCAGGCTGGAGTGCAATGGCGGGATCTCGGCTCATCACAACTTCTGCCTCCTGGGTTCAGGCAATTCTCCTGCCTCAGCCTCCTGAGTAGCTGGGATTACAGGCATGCGCCACCATGCCCAGCTAATTTTTTGTATTTCTTTTGAGACGGAGTTTCGCCCTTGTTACCCAGGCTGGAGTGCAATGGCGCGATCTTGGCTCACCGCAACCTCCGCCTCCTGGGTTCAGGCAATTCTCCTGCCTCAGCCTCCTGAGTAGCTGGGATTACAGGCACGTGCCACCATGCCCAGCTAATTTTTTGTATTTTTAGTAGAGACGGGGTTTCATCATGTTGACCAGGATGGTCTCGATCTTTTGACCTCATGATTCACCTGCCTAGGCCTCCCAAAGTGCTGGGATTAGAGGTGTATTTTTTTTTTTTTTTAGTAGAGACAGGTTTTCACCATGTTGACCAGGATGTTCTCGATCTCTTGACCTCGCGATCCACCCGCCTCGGCATCCCAAAATGCTGGGATTACAGGCTTGAGCCACTGCACCCGGCTCGAAATTCTTATTTATCATGGAACCATTGTAGATATACTCCTAACTATTCTTTGAATTAGTCATAGGCATCAGTGAAGCTAGAGGAAAGAATCCAATTGTTAACCTTTTCCTGTAATCCTGCCTATAAAATTTTGATTAAACATTCTTTGTAATTCTATGCCTTTTAGACTTTATTATCTTGTGTGTGTGTGTGTTGCAGGTAAATATTTATTTCATGTACTAGTCATGAAGGAGACTGTGTCTGCTGAGACTATAGGTCTCTGGAATCAGTTTGTGTCTGGGCAAATCTCAATTCCTGCCCTTACTTAGGTTACTTGAACTTACCTTGCCTTACCTGCAAAATGAAGATAATAACAGCACCTATATCATAGAGTTGTTTTGTAGAGTAAATGAGTTTTAATGTGTGTAAGGTGATTAATTCCAGGTACCTAATAATTATATTATATCCAGTTTTATATTATTGCTACATGAGACAATGGTATATATTTATTTTTTGAGACAGGGTCTCACTTTGTCACTCAGGCTGGGTGATTTCAGCTCACTGCAGTCTCAACCTCCCAGGCTCAAGCAGTCTTCCCAGTTTTGCCTCCCAAGCAGCAGGGACTATAGCCCTGCACCACCATTCTTGGCTAATATTTTGTACTTTTTCTAGAGATGGGTTTTTCCATGTTACCCAGGCTGGTCTCAGACTCCTGAGCTCAAGCTATCCACCTGCCTCAGTCTCCCAAAATGCTAGGATCACAAGCATGAGCCATTGCGCCTAACCTATAAATTTTTTTCAACTATCAAACTTAGTTTAGAAGACTCAAGAGAAGAAGGAAAGTTAATTGTATTTACCATGTTGTTGCTCACTCTTTTCTTTTTTCCTTCCTTGTACTCCATGATTCCTCCTATTTTCATTTGTTTTGTGTTTAAAGAACTTCTTGGGGCCGGGCGCGGTGGCTCATGCCTGTAATCCCAGCACTTTGGGAGGCCGAGGTGGGTGGATCACGAGGTCAAGAGATTGAGAACATCTTGGTCAACATGGTGAAACCCAGTCTCTACTAAAAATACAAAAATTAGCTGGGCGTGGTGGCACACGCCTGTAATCCCAGCTACTCGGGAGGCTGAGGTAGGAGAATTGCCTGAACCCAGAAGGCGGAGGTTGTGGTGTGCCCAGATTGCGCCATTGCACTCCAGCCTGGGTAACAAGAGTGAAACTCCGTCTCAAAAAAAAAAAAAAAAAAAAGAACTTCTTTAGCCCTTTTCGTTTGTTAAGGATAGATCTGCTGGCAACAAATTCTCTTAGTTTTTCTTCAACTGAGAATGTACTGATTTTCCCTTCACTCTTGAAGGATATTTTCACTGAATATAAGATGCTAGTTTCAGACATATTTTATTTCAACATTTGAAAAATGTCGTACCACTTCCTTCTGGTCTTCATGAGTTCTGATGAGGAATCGACTATCTTGGACTTGTTTTTCTTCTAAAGGTAAAGTGTCATTTCTTTAACTGCTTTGAATAATATTTTTTCATCGTTTTTAAGTTTTCAGAAGTTTGTCCATAATTTGTCCTGATGATGGGTTTCTTTTCTTTGAGAAAGTGTCTTTCTCTGCTGCCCTTGCTAGAGTGCATTGGCATAGTTACTGCTCACTGCAGCCTCGACCTTGTGGGCTCAAGTGATCTTTCCACCTCAGCCCCATGAGTAGCTGGGACCACAGGGGCATGTCACCTTCCTTGGGTGATTTTCTTTTATTTTTTGTAGAGGCGGGGTCTCACTGTGTTGCCCTGGCTGATCTTGCACTCTTGGGCTCAGGTGATTCTCCTGCCTCAGTCTCCCAGACTTCTGGGATTATATGCATGAGATACTGTGCCTAGTCTTGATGTGGATTTCTTTTTTATTTACTCTGTTTGGGTTTTTCTCACCTTCTTAAGTCTATAAATTTGTGTCTTTTGCCAAATTTCGGAAGTTTTAGCTATTATGTCTGTAAGTTCTTTTTCAGCCTCACCTTTTTTCTCCTCTTCTCTGGGACTTTTATCAGGTAAATAAAAGATTTTTTTTTAATAGTCCCACATATCCCTGAGGCTCTGTTTACTTTTGTAAGTTTGGGTAATTTCTACTGTATTATTTTCAAGTTCACTGATTCCTCTGTCACCTACATTCTAATGTTGAACCCATACCTTGAGTTTTTTGTTTCAGTTATTGTATTTTTCAGTTCTAATAATTTTACTTGATTCTTCTTTATATTTTCTATATATTTGTTGAGATCTTCTGTTTATTTGCTGAAACTCTCAATGTTTTTATTTGTTTCAAGTGCATTTGTAGTTACTTACTGAAGTATTTTTATGATGACATTTTCAATTTTTGTGAAATAATCCTATCATGTCTGTCATCTTGGCATTGGCATGTATTAGGCATTTTTTTGTTTTTACTTAATTTGAGTTTTCTGCTGCTTGGCATGTTGTGTTTGGCTGTATTAAATATTATATATGTTTTCTGTCTTGCAAGGCTACTTCTTTCCTGGTGCTTTAACTAAAGAGAGTAGGTTTTGAAGGGGTCCTTTTTTTGGCAGGCATCCTTTGGCATTTTCTGGTTTTCAGTTTTTTCAGCTGCAAACTTGGGATATATGAGGCAATAGGAAAACAAAGGGAACACGCCACTTGTTTTTTTCCTTGGGTCTTAAGGTGTTTAGCTAGTCTGTCTTTTTTTCTCCATTTCTCAGAGGACAGAAAAAAGGCTGGATGTAGTGGCTCGCATCTGCAGTCTCAGCACTTTGGGAGGCTGAGGCAGGAGGATTGCTTGAGCTTAAGAATTTGAGACCAGCCTGGGCATTACAGTGAGATCCTGTCTCTACACAAAATATTAATAATAGTCTTCTTACATTTGTTTAATAGAAAACACCCAGGGTTTTAAATTATACTAAGCAGGAGACATAGGGAAAACTATAACTACTTTAGTTTCTAGTAGTGGAAGTCCACTGGCTCTAATTTTTTTTTTTTTTTTTGAGATGGAATCTTGCTGTCACCTAGGCTGGAGTGCAGTGGTACGATCTCAGCTCACTGCAACCTCTGCTTCCCAGGTTCAAGCGATTCTCCCTGCCTAAGCTGCCTGAGGAGCTGGGATTACAGGCACTCGCCATCAAGCCCAGGTAATTTTTTTTTTTTTTTTTTCAGTAGAGATGAGGTTTCACAATCTTGACCAGGCTGGTCTTGAACTCCTGACACCTCAGGTGATCCACCCACCTTGGCCTCCCAATATGCTGGGAATACAGGCTTGAGCTACCATGCCGAGCCCACTGGCTCAATTTTGATAATTATTTTCTTTATGACTGCTTGAAACATAATAGCTATATTTGACCTACTTCTTGCCAAATTGTATATGTGAAGATAGTGTCTTCTGTTGTCTGCTTGAGAATGGATTGAGCCCATTTCTAGCTGAAAGGTAGGTAGATGTACTTAGTTCCCAGCATAAATTCTAGTAATTAATATTTTTAGGCATTTACAAAGTTGATTCTTCTAGCTAAACCATGATAGTATCACTTCTTAGCCTCAAGTCTGATTCTTTGGCAGTCTGAGTTAAGGGAGTATAGATTGGTCTCCTACAATGAACTTTTAAAGGCCCTTCTAGTGTGTTTTCCTTACCTTATAAAATTATGGGATCATTCTACCTAGGATGCAGTATATGAATTGTGATCCTCATGTACTCTTTGACTACACTGTCTTATTTTTGGGGACTTAGAGGATATAAAAAGATCTTAGGGACTCAGAGAAGGAGAAGTATTAACTATTGTGGCTGTCTCATATCAGCTTCTTTCAGTTGAGAAATGACTAATTATTTTTTCTCATTGGTTATAAACCTGTTTCTCTAAGTCAAAAGGGACAGAGAATGAATGAAAAGACAATTCTCTAGCCTTCAACTAGGCCATCGTCATTTTCATAGTGATGCATGGATCAGCCTTTGCCTGCTTTGCTCATTTCAGCTCCATTGCTTCAATAGTTAAAGGAAATTCCTTCCAGATTTAGACAATAGTCAATTTTTAGCATTGCTGTTTTTAATCTCTTTTTCTGGGTCCTCATAGGTATTTTAGGATAAGGGAGCAGCAGCCAGTGAGAGGCCATTTAAAACTAGAATCTCCCATAAGCTAAGCTAGTCTTAAGGGAAATTTGAAAGTGAGTCTAAGTGAAAGCAAATTTTTTCAAAATTGAACTGAACAATTAAGTTGCTAAAATAATCTCTTCATTTAAAAATCAATGACATACAAAAATAATTTTATTGTTTGAGTTTTTAAACTTTTTCAAATATGCGAATCAGGCTCCTCTTGGCGCTTGAATAGGTGCCATCTGCTGAGTTGTAACTGAGCCAGATCTTGCATTTGGGCCTAAATTTAATATTTAGTTCTGATAGATGAAACATGCATCTTTAAAAGCAGTGAGCCATTTGTACATTTTAAGTTTAATACTTTCCTAAAACTTAGATTTACTTCTTAGCACTAACTTACATAGATAAACTTCCGTTTTTTAAATTGCATTTTAGGTTTTGGGGTACACGTGAAGAACATGCAAGATTGTTGCATAGGTACACACATGACAGTGTGATTTGCTGCCTTCCTCCCCATCACCTATATCTGGCATTTCTCCCCATGCTATCTCTCCCCAACTCCCCAGCCCCTGCTGTCCCTCCCGTTTCCCCCCGACAGACCCCAATGTGTGATGCTCCCATCCCAATACCTACCTGTGAGTGAGAACATGCGGTGATTGATTTTCTGTTCTTGTGTCAGTTTGCTGAGAATGATGGTTTCCAGATTCATCCATGTCCCTACAAAGGACACGAACTCATCATTTTTGATTGCTGCATAATATTCCATGGTGTATATGTGCCACATTTTCCCTCTCCAGTCTATCATTGATGGGCATTTGGGTTGGTTCCAGGTCGTTTCTATTGTAAACAGTGCTGCAACGAACATTCCTGTGCATGTGTTTTTATAGTAGAACAATTTATAATCCTTTGGATATATACCCAGTAATGGGATTGCTGGGTCAAATGGAATTTCTATTTCTAGGTCCTTGAGGAATCACCACACTGTCTTCCACAATGGTTGAACTAATTTACACTCCCACCAACAGTGTAAAAGTGTTCCTATTTCTCCACATCCTCTCCAGCATCTGTTGTCTCCAGATTTTTTAATGATCACCATTCTAACTGGCATGAGATGGTATCTCAATGTGGTTTTGATTTGCATTTCTCTAATGACCAGTGATGATGAGCATTTTTTCATATGTTTGTTGGCCTCATGTATGTCTTATTTTGTAAAGTGTCTGTTCATATCCTTTGCCCACTTTTGAATGGCCTTAATTGTTTTTTTTCTTGTAAATCTGTTTTAGATCTTTGTAGATTCTGGATATTAGCCCTTTGTCAGATGGGTACATTGCAAAAATTTTTTCCCATTCTGTTGGTTGTCGATTCACTCTAACTACTGTTTCTTTTGCCATGCAGAAGCTGTGGAGTTTGATTAGGTCCCATTTGTCTATTTTGGCTTTTGCTGCCAAAGCTTTCGGTGTTTTGTTCATGAAGTCCTTGCCTACTCCTATGTCCTGAATGGTTTTGCCTAGACTTTCTTCTAGGGTTTTTATGGTGCCAGGTCTTATGTTTAAGTCTTTAATCCATCTGGAGTTAATTTTAGTGTAAGGTGTCAGGAAGGGGTCCAGTTTCTGCTTTCTGCACATGGCTAGCCAGTTTTCCCAACACCATTTATTAAACAGGGAGTCCTTTCCCCATTGTTTGTTTTTGTCAGGTCTGTCAAAGATAGGATGGTTGCAGATGTGTGGTGTTGCCTCCGAGGTCTCTGTTCTGTGCCATTGGTCTATATCTCTGTTTTGGTACCAGTACCATGCTATTTTGATTACTGTAGCCTTGTAGTATAGTTTGAAGTCCAGTAGTGTGATGCCTCCTGCTTTGTTCTTCTTGCTTAGAATTGACTTGGCTATGCGGGCTCTCTTTTGGTTCCCTATGAAGTTTAAGGTGGTTTTTTCCAGTTCTGTGAAGAAGGTCATTGGTAGCTTGATGGATAGTGTTGAATCTGTAAATTACTTCGGGCATATTGCCATTTTCATGTTGATCTTCCTAACCATGAACATGGAATGTTTCTCCATCTGTTTGTGTCCTCTTTTATTTCGTTGAGCAGTGGTTTGTAGTTCTCCTTGAAGAGGTCCTTTACGTTCCTTGTTAGTTTTATTCCTAGGTATTTTATTCTCTTTGCAGTAATTGTGAATGGCAGTTCGTTCTTGATTTGGCTCTCTTTAAGTCTGTTATTGGTGTATAGAAATGCTTGTGATTTTTGCACATTGATTTTATATCCTGAGACTGCTGAAGTTGCTTATCAGTTTCAGGAGATTTGGGGCTGAGACAATGGGGTCTTCTAGATATACAATCATGTCGTCTGCAAATAGAGACAATTTGACTTCCTCCTTTCCTATTTGAATACGCTTTATTTCTTTTTCTTGCCTGATTGCTCTGGCTAGAACATCCAATATTATATTGAATAAGAGTGGTGAGAGAGGGCATCCTTGTCTAGTGCCAAATTTCAAAGGGAATGTTCCCAGTTTTTGCCCATTCAGTATGATATGGGCTGTAGGTTTGTCATAAATAGCTTTTATTATTTTGAGATACATTCCATCAATACTTAGTTTATTGAGGGTTTTTAGCATAAAGGGCTGTTGAATTTTGTCAAAGGCCTTCTCTGCATCAGTTGAGATAATCGTGGTTTTTGTTTTTGGTTCTGTTTATGTGGTGAATTACATTTATAGACTTGTGTATGTTGAACCAGCCTTACATCCCCAGAATGAAGCCTACTTGATAATGGTGGGTAAGCTTTTTGATATGCTGTTGCAATTGGCTTGCCAATATTTTATTGAAGATTTTTGCATCTATGTTCATCATAGATATTGGCCTGAAGTTTTCTTTTCTTGCTGAGTCTCTGCAGGGTTTTGGTATAAGGATGATGTTGGTCTCATAAAATAATTTGAGAAGAATTCCCTCTCTTTGGATTGTTTGGAATAGTTTTAGAAGGAGTGGTACCAGCTCCTCTTTGTATGTCTGGTAGAATTTGGCTGTGAACCCATCTGGACCTGGGCTTTTTTTGGGTGGTAGGCTTTTAATTGCTACCTCAACTTCAGACCTTGTTATTGGTCTATTCAGCATTTTGACTTCTTCCTGGTTGAGGCTTGGGAGGATGCAGGTGTCCAGGAATTTATCCATTTCTTCCAGGTTTACTAGTTTACGTGCATAGAGTTGTTTGTAATAATCTTTGATGATGGTTTGTATTCCTATGGAATCTGTGGTGATATCCCCTTTATTGTTTTTTATTGTATCTATTTGATTATTCTCTCTTTTATTTTGTATTAATCTGGCTAGTGGTCTGTCTATTTTGTTGACATTTTTGAAAAACCTGCTCCTGGATTTATTGATTTTTTTGAAAGGTTTTTAAATGTCTCTATCTCCTTCAGTTCTGCTCTGATCTTAGTTATTTCTTGTCTTCTGCTGGGTTTTGAGTTTTTTTAATCTTGCTCCTCTAGTTCTTTCAATTTTGACGATAGGGTGTCGATTTTAGATCTTTCCCTGCTTCTCATGTGGGCATTTATTGCTATCTATTTTCCTCTAGACACTGCTTTAATTGTGTTCCAGAGATTCTGGTATGTTGTGTCTTCATTCTCATTGGTTTCGAAAACATCTTTATTCTGCCTTCATTTCATTGTTTATCCAGTCAACATTCAAGAGCCAGTTGTTCAGTTTCCATGAAGCTGTGTGGTTCTGAGTTAATTTCTCAATTCTGAGTTCTAACTTGATTGCACTGTGGTCTGAGAGACTATTTGTTATGATTCCCATTCTTTTGCATTTGCTGAGGAGTGATTTACTTCCAATTATTGGTCAATTTTACAGTAGGTGTGATATGGTACTGAGAAGAATGTATATTCTGTGGATTTGGAATGGAGAGTTCTCTAAATGTCTATTAGATTTGCTTGGTCCAGGTCTGAGTTCAAGTCCTGTCTAATATTGACAATGGGGTGTTAAGGTCTCCCACTATTATTGTGTGGGGGTCTAAGTCTCTTTGTAAGTCATTAAGAGCTTGCTTTATATATCTGCGTGCTCCTG